CGTCTCATTACCTAACTAGGTAACATCCTCAGTGCTAGAAGGGAGTGAGATTTGTGGAGAGAAAGAGGAGGAGGAGGAGAACTGTAGGGTAATTAGTACTCTCTGAGCTTGGTGGTTGTCTTGCAGACATTTAATTACCAAACTAGGTAACAGCATCAGTTCTGGAGAGGAGGAGGAGGAGGAGGAGAATAGGGACTTTATGCTCTCTGAGCTTGGTATTTTTCTTGCAGACGTTTCATCACCAAACTAGGTAACAGTACTGTTGGGATGTAGTAACAGTACAGTAACCGGTAACATAAGTAGCACTGATGACGTTACCTAGTTTGGTGATGAAATGTCTGCAAGAAAACCAGCAAACTGGAAGAGCACCAAAGACTCCTTGAAGTAGCCTATTCTTCACTTAAAATTGCAAAGGGAATTTTTACCAATGCTTTTCCAGATTGTTTAGGAATTTATGGGAAATTTAGTGCATATGATGGGTTCATATGAGGTGGTGACTAAACCCATACATGAATGCTGGAACTGATCAGTGTTTGGAGCAAAATATCTCGCATGAGATTTAATTTAGAAACAAACAAACAAACAGTCTTAAGAAATCAAAACTTAAGAACTCAATTCAATGTACATGATGGTTTATTTTTTGGGTTTGTTTTTTTTTGCTAGCAGCCTTTAATGTTCTTTTTAAAAACAAAACAAACCCAGGGCTGACTGATGAGGCTTTAAAGATCTGTCTGTAGATAAGATATGGGTTAAAAAGATAATTTTTTGTTGTTGTATATTGAGAGAAAGTAATAAGCCACAATATTAAAATGGAAGGAAAGTGTTATGCTTGTGAAAGAGTTTTTTCTGAGAGGAGATGAAAAGACGGTGATAAGAAATTAATTTGTGGGGTATTATTTGATGGAATTAGATTTTAATAGGTTGTTTCTGGTAGCTCTTAATGGTTTTTTTTTTCTGATTAACTTTGAACGATGAAGCTTTAAAGATTTGTTTATGGAGATGAGATTTGGGGAGAAAAAAGGGGTTTTTTTTGTATATTTAAAGAAAATGATAAACATTATGCATGAATATGAAATGAATTTACTTGCTTACAGTTAAAGTATATATATTTATTTCTGGTAGACTTGCTGATTAAGACTGAACGCTTGGCCCGTTATTTGCTAATATAGGTAGTCTTCAGCTTACAACTCCCCTTGATTCCAAAATTTATGTGGTTAAGTGAGTCAGTTGTTAAATGAGGTATGCCTCATTTGACAACCTTACTAGCCACAGCTGTTGAGTGGTGGCTAACAGTGGTTAAGCGAGTCCTGCAACTGTTTTAGCCTGAGACGGTCAGATTCTTGATGTAGAGTCAAGATGGACAGACAAGGTCTGTGAAGGCTGGGTCCAGCAGCTGTTGTGTTCGGAAGTGGGGGATGCTGGGAGATTAATCATCTGGGGTGCCATGTTTCCCCATCCTGATTTATTACAAAAAAAAAAAAGGCTTAAGTGAAGGGACTAAAACGGGTGGACTGACCCAGGCTATCGGCTGACAGGCTGGTGACCGCTGACAGAGGCGAACATCTGTATTCTTGTGGTGTAGGTGGGGACAGTGATGGAGTAGAACTGGGCAGAAAACAAGGAGCCATCACTTTTGGGGAGGGCGCGTCAAAATAGAGAGGGTTACGCACAGCTCCTTGGCATGGAGAAAAAGAGGCAGTCTTGTAAATGAAAAGGCTAATTTTGCTTTTGAACGAATGCTTGCTTTTTTGAAAACAGAAGTGGACCGTTTGAGCTACCATCTTACTTAGGTTTCTCTATTTTTTTTCCTTCCTAGAAAGTCCACCAGCAGCGATGTCCAGAAATGGGTACTTCTTTGAAGAAACAGGTAAGCATTCATTGCCTTCCTTCTATTCCTTCCTTCCTTCCTTCCTTCCTTCCTTCCTTCCTTCCTTCCTTCCTTCCTTCCTTCCTTCCTTCCTTCCTTCCTTCCTTCTTTCCTTCCTTCCTTCCTCATCCTTACCACCCTCCATTTTTTTCCTTTTCTCCCTCCCTCCCTCCTTCCTTCCATTTCCTCTTCTTCCTGCCCTCCTTCCTTCCCCATCTCTCCGTTCCTTCCTTTTCTCTCTCCCTCCCTCCTTCCTTCTTCCCACTCCCTCTCCTGCCTTCCTTCCTTCCTTTTTTCTGTTCCTCACTCCTTCCTTCCTTCCCCCTCTGTCCCTTTCTTCCTTTCCTCCCTTTTCTCTTTCACTGGCTCCCTCCCTCCTTCCTTCCTTCCTGCCTCCCATTCCATGCCCTTCCTTCTTCCTCCTCCCTCTCTCCTTCCTTCCCTCTCTCCTCCCTCCCTTCCTTCTCTCCATCCTTTTCTCTCCCCTTCCTCTCTTCCCTCCCTCACCCTCTGCTGTAATTCAAACCAAATTAGAGTTGCCCATGTACATTTTTGTTTATATAAATAACATTATGTCAGATAATAACCATGAAATACAGCTCCGGAAGATGTACATATACAACGGAACTACATTGAAGTTGGACAAGACAGGGTTAGAAAACACACAGGTGCAAGTTGTATCAGCTTTAGTTTTGCTGTAAGATCTATAGGGAAGTGGAACAGTTTCCTAAAAAGGCCACGGAGGTGAGACATGAATTGGTGTTTTTTTTTTGGAAACAATTTTATTGGTTTTTAAAGACAAACAAAACATAAAAACATCCAGCTTTCTTTCATAAATGTACAAGCGGCGTGTCGGTTGGTTTACCAATTTTTTGGGCATCCATTTTGTAGTCTCATGACATGAATTGTTGTTGTTAGTTGCGAAGTCGTGTCCGACCCATCACGACCCCAGGGACAGTGTTCCTCCAGGCCTTCTCTACCCTCTTCTGGAGTCCATTTAAGCTCACGATGACTGCTTCAGGGACTCCATCCAGCTTCCTCCTTCTCTGCCGTCCTCTTCTGCGCTCCCTCGTTCCCAGCATTCGGCTCTTCTCCAGGGAGTCCTTCCTTCCTTCTCCTGGGAGGTGGCCAAAGTCTTTGAGTTTCCTCTTCAGGATCTGGCCTTCTCAAGAGCAGCCAGGGTTGATCTCCTCCTCTAGGACTGACCGTTTGGATGGCCTTGCAGCCCAAGGGATTTGCAAGAGTCTTCTTCAGCACCAGAGTTCAAAGGCCTCTCCGTTCTTTGGCGCTCAGCCTTCCTTATATGGTCCAACTTTCACAGCCATAGTTACGTATTTTTGACAGTGAGATCAACCCTTGGAACAAAATTTGCCCTCGACAGTTGTGGGAGCGCCATCCCTTGAGACTTTCAAGAAGAGATTGGACTGCCATTGGTCAGAAATGGTGTAGGGTCTCCAGCTTGGGCAGGGGGTTGGACTAGATGACCTACAAGATCCCTTCCAACTCTGATTATCTGTTATCTATCTGCTACATGGTGGGCGATCAAGAACTTTTTCTTTTGATTACAGAAGCTAGAACAGATACGATTCGTAGCTGTCTAGATTTCACTTAAATATTAGGAAAAACACTTTTTTTTTCCCCCTCAGAAAAGGCATCCTACGTAGACTGTAGGTTCTCCAACTCTGGAGGTTTTTAAGGAGAGGCCAGAAAAATCACCTCTCAAGGATGGTTTAATAATTGCACAGAACTGATGAACCTTGTAATCTATTTCAACCTTACATTTTCATACCCTGTAAGGGGTTGGAGTTAGAGAAATCTAAGAGGAGCTGGCATCGAGAACAGGAAATAATCCCACATATCTTCCCCCCACCCTCAAAAAAATATATATACGCTAGTCTGTGTTGGGTTGAGTAAAGTAATACAATACGTTACTCTAGAACAATACCAAATGTTCACCGTGTACATTTTTGCACGTCCCTTGACCCACCTGGGCTAAAAATGGAGACAGACGACAGAGAAAGTTGTATTTTGGAAAGCAGCGTTAATCCTCCTTCTTCACAAATACGTCCCAAATTTTGCCAACAGGTTAAGGCCGTGATGGTCAACCTATGGCACGCGTGCCAAAGGTAGCACGCTGAGTCATTTGGGCACGCGAGCCCCAGCCAAACTCACCTACACTGGGCATGCGCACGCCTCCCAGCTGATTTTGGGGCCGTTTGAGGCCTTTTTCGCCTTCCCGGGGGCTCGAGGGGAGCCTCTGCAGCCTTTGGAGGCCGAAAAACAGGGCTTCCGGAAATACCAGAAGAGCTGAAACCGGAAGTGCCAAAATGGGCCCATTTTTCAGCCTCCCAAGGCTGCAGAGGCTTCCCTCGAACCCTCGGGCGGGTGAAAAAGGCCTCAAACAGCTGAAAATCAGCCGGGAAGCGCGCGCATGCGCAGCGCAAGTAAGAGTCGCGGGGTTGCGCATACGTGCGCAGGTGGGGCACATTGCATTGTGGGTGCTGGCCCGCGTGTGTGTGTGTGTGTGCTTTTGGCACACCACAACAAAAAGGTTCGCCCTCACTTGGTTAAGACAGAAAATGCAAGTAGTGCTGGATTTACAACAATTCATTTAACGACTGTTCAAAGTTACAGCGGCACTGAAAAAACGTGACATGACCGTTTTTCACACTTAACGACCGTTGCAGCATCTCTGCGGTCACACGATCAAAATTCACACGCTTGGCAACGGATTCCGACTTATGACCCTGGCTGGGTGCTGAGGTCACTTTTGTGACCTTCTGACAAGCAAAGTAGCTGGGGAATCCAGATTCCCTTAACAACTGTATAACTAGCTTTACACCTGCAGCAGTTCACTTAACAACGGCGGCGAAGAAGTCGTAAAATGGAGGAAAACTCCCTTCAACAATTGTCTCGCTTTGCAAGCAGAAATTATGGACTCGCCGGTGGTCGTTAAGTGAAGGACAACCTGCGTTTGTAACAGTACGCAATATGTTTTGCATTGGGAGCAGTTCAGAGTCCAAAATTGTACAGGCAGTCTTTGACTTGCAACAAGTTCATTTAGTGACCGTCAATGTTACAAAAGCCCATTTTCCATTGATGACCGTTGCGGCGTCCCTTCGATCCTGTGACCAAAGTTGAAATGCTTGGCAACCGGTTCGTACTTACAACCGTCGCTGGGCCCCTTTTTTGACAAGCAAAATCAGCGGGGAAGCTTCAGCTTCACTGAACAACCGTGTTACTAACGTAACAGTTCCAGGGATTCACTTAAACCGCGGTGTGTCAACTTGTAAAGCACCCCTATGCCTGTTTTCGAGTTGCTGTAAACAAGGGGAGCAGAAAGGAAGTCTGAGGAAGCGGTGCGGCAGTTTAAAGCCCGGGAAAATGCTTAATTGGAGAACATGATTGATGACACTCAGCCTGTGATGGTACTTCAATGGAGAATCTGATTTATGACACGTACGGGGGTGGGGGGAAACAGGGTCACAGGTGAGTGTAAATTAACGTATTCCAGAGTTGGCTTCATACAGGTTCGTGTAGGCATGTTGCTCCTAATAAATCTTTCGAATTATTTTGAAGCTTGGGCCGAGGCTCGTGATTTAATTAGGGCAGTCGCCGGAATCCTGACAGCGTGGCTGGAAGGGTCATAAAACGAGGCAAAATTCACTTAACGACAGTCTCACTTAGCAGTGGAAATTTTGGCCTCCACTGTAGTCGTAGTTCGAGGAGTTGCCTGTATTCTGTCATTCTGAAGGCGGCCTGTAATGTAACTCTCTCCTCATCTTATAACGTAACACCTGTCGTCATACTGGCGTTCGGTGTTCGAAACCGTCAAATATGTACAGCTTCCTCCAAACTGACCCTTCTGAATTCAAAATGGCAAACTCAGAATGGTTCCAATCACTCATCGGGAGCTTGGAGCTCCGATCTGTTTGGCAAGCCTATAAACATTGCCATCTTTTTAACTAGCAAAGCCCCAGGAGCAAGGCCGCCCAGCTTGAAAATAAAATAAAATAAAAATCAATAAACGTCCTTAATTAAGGCAGGAGCGGTCCCTGCTCGCATTCTCCGTTTAATCGTTGCAAATAACAAATCGGCCCAATTGTGTCGTGTGTACTCTACGGGCCGGCAAGTTTTCAGGACACCAAATGTGACTTTCCTCCCTTTTTTTTTTCGTCCTTCTTCTGAGCCTCCAAGAGCCAAAATGCTGGCATCCGGATCCTCGGGGAGAAGAGATTCAGCATCCATATAAGGGCTCGGATTTTGATTAAGAACAGCTAAAAATGTCACCCAGGAGCTCGCAAACTTTCCCGCTTGGCCAAAAGTCTTTAGCAAGCTGGAGTTTGGCCAAAAAGAATATATGGGGAAGAAGCAAAAAAAAAAAGCCCATAATCACCATGAGTGGTGTAAAAGAGAGAGAA